ATAGAAAATACTAAGAACAGTCGCAGTTCAAAGGAGGTCATTGATTTTTGTTTAAGAAACGATCGTGTATGGTTTGCTTCATTTTTTGTCATATTCACGATAATGACTGTAATAGTGGGATGTTGGGACCTGGCTGCTCGTTAATGGTGGTGGTGATGGTTGTTGCTATATATATAGAATTCCGCAACAACAAACTATTCATTTCATCCAAACAATGTTCGGCTTAAACTGCACACTTGTTCTATCAACCATTCTAATTCAGAAAGATTTTTATTTATTGACTGATAGCAATGTTACTGATGTCTATCTACAAACTATTGATAGTAGTAAAGAATGTACTGTTAGAAAAATGTTAGAAATTAAAAATGGGCATGAACAACTACGTATGTTTTATTCAAAATATGTATCTTCCTCGAACCAACTGCAATATCGGCTAGAATTAGTCTTCAAAGACAACACTCGATGCAAGTCTCCGAATTACACCATCTTTAACGATTATAGTGGATACAAGAATTCTACAGGTGCAAATGTTACAGAATATTGTTTGGCAAAACCATGGATATGGATATTTACTTCAGTAGGAGCAATTATTTTTGCAATCGTATTTTGTCTGTTACTTTATTTAGTACTAATTTGTTTCAGTTATTTTAGTAAATACAATACTCAAACAAATGTATGATTCAATAAAACAATTAGTTATTATTAATAGTTTTATTTAATGTCCTTTAACATATTTATTTAACAGCATCAGTACTACGATTTAATACAACAATAAGTTATTTAATATGTTTTAAATTATTTGTCCAGCAGCACGATATGACTCATCACGATCTACCACCACAGCAGTGATTTTTGATGATTGTTTATAGGTTTTTGATTTTCGTTTTTTAATGATGTTTTGTTGTTTTCATATAAAATTCAACAAAAAGCCGTTTTTGGTTAACTTGAAATTTTTTTTTTTAATGTCTTAGTATATTTAGTTGTGATGGTAGTAGTCATATAACAATACATATAAAGAACAACCTATTTCGCTTTTTTTTTTTTTTTTTTTTTTAAGTGTTGCATGTTGGGCTTATTCGAATCCTTTTTCGATGGTCTTTTTTTCGACCTGAAAAAATTTTTACGTAGCGACCTCGAAAAAACTAGAAATGGCTCCTGTATCTAGGTCGATGTGGACAGAATCGATTTTTTTGAGCAGACTTATGCGTTCGTTCCAGAAGAAGGTTTTGATGTATACAACCGATATTCTATCTCTTACCATTTGGACACTAGAAACTTTTGCCCTTTTCTCCCTTATTTTCAACTTTTTTGAAAATTTTTTTTGCTCAACATATGGCTTAATTTTTTTAGCTTTTCCCCGTTCCCCTGAGCCGACATGCTACCTCTTACCGCTTACGAACTATGACGTTTTTTCGTTATTACTACTAAACGGTAGCAAAAAATATTTATTTTGCTAAGTGGACCTATAGACTGTTCACTCAGAAATATTTTGGTACAAAAATATATTTTTTAAGTTTTACCGTTTGGGCGCCACAAACTTTTGCCCTTTTCACAGTCATGTCAAAAGTTAGCGAAAAACCGTCGACGGCTGTCGATATTATTTGTTTTTGTCAATCTTTTTTGCTCTATACACGAACCTCCTATCTCTTACCATTTTCGAGTAACAAAAATTTTTTCTATTTAAACGGTAGATACACCTATGAGTCATAATCATTTTTACACACGATTAGATAGTACTTCATGAATATGCATTTGATTTTGTGGAAAAACAAACTTTTCAAAATTTGGATTTTTTTTTTGAGATTTTTTTTGTTTTAATTTTTCTTTGGATTCTTTGAATTTTTTAAATTTTTTTTTTCACCAAAACTTCTAATTTACTTTCCTACTGCTCAAGGAAAACTTTTTTTCGAATTTTGACAACCTTTTTTGACAAAAATTGTTGCGCCCCAAACTCAAATTTTCACATATTTAATTACATGGACCTATTGATTATTCATCCAAAAATATTTTGACACAAAAAACAAATTTTTAACTAATTCCGTTTGGTCACCACAAACTTTTGCCCTTTTCTCCGAAATGCTAAACTCAAACTAAAAACCGTCGACACAGGTGCATGTGTTTCGTATTTTAGGAACTTTTTTGTTCTTTGGACGAACCTCGTATCTCTTACCGTCTTCGAGTAAAACATTTTTTTTTTATATTTAAACAATTATTGCACCTCCAACCCACATTTATTTTTACACAAATGTGTCATTAGTTTATAGGGATGCATTTTTATTTTTTTAACAAACTTTCTGCCCTTTATCACCCTCAAGCGATAATTCTTTTTTTTTAATATTTCCGAATACGTCCCTGTCTATTGCGACAAAAGCGTCCAGTTCCGTAAGAATTTGCTGAAACAGCATCGCGTTATTTCATTCTGTGTTGTAATAATGACGGGCGGCGTGTTTCGGTTTATGAATTTTACCGTGAAAAGATTTGGGAAAAAGGTGGTTTTGTTGAACTAAATGGTGGCTTCTGTGAAGTGTGCGTGTATTTGAATGTTTTCGAGGGAGAACGGATTATTTTATTGCCTGTTTTCAATGTCGTAAGTAACAATTTTTTTAATTTTTAACAACACACTCGCCTTCTGACATTTGAGATTTTATTCTAATAATCACGGACAAATAAGCTTAAATCGGCAGAAAGTTGCTGATGAACATTTATTTATTAAGAAAATAACAGGAGTTTTGTCGGAGCAAACACGGCTTTTATTCGTTGCTGTTATTCCCAATTAAATAATTTTAGATGAGACTGGGGAAAATAATACACCAAACGAAATAAACAATATTTATTATAATTTCAATTACAGCTTAAGATTATACAAACTAGTTCGTATTTTATACATTTTAAGAAACTAATAAGTTTTAAATTTAAATCTAATTTACGACGCAGTGGTTTAACCGCAATGTGCACAGTTATTTAACTGATTTTCTTTGCTGAATAATTTTCAATTCTGAATCCAATTTTTCGATTGTTTCTCTAAATTTTCGCTTCTTCTCCATCATTTTTTCGATTAAGGGCTTTATTTGCAATTCGAAACGTTCCACATTCATTTGAAATCTTTTAACATCGTATAACCAAGTATTAATTCGGCTTTCTTTATCATTTATTAAGAAAATAACCGGAACTTTGTCGAAACAAACACGTCTGTTATTCATGACAGTTTGCAATCAAATATTTTTTACATGAGACTGGGGAAAATAATACACCGAACGAATTAAATAATATTTATTATAATTTCTATTACAGCTTAAGATTATTCAATTTAGTTCTTATTTCATACATTTTAATTGCTTCTTTTAAATAACTAATTCGTTTTAAATGTAATTCTAATCTACGACGAAGCAGTCTAACTGCACTTGATTTGTTTTCCACATGAACCAATGCCTTCTTCATTCTTCGATAAATTCGATATTGATGGTTCGACCGATCGGACCTCTATTTACCAAGTACAATTTCAAGCCGTTCACGATCTTCTGGTTCAGATCGCTGATCACTGAGTCGGTGAATTTTTCGGTAAATCTCTGTGGAAGTATCGTTCTAGACTCTTCAAGTTGCACAAATATCTTGTCACCGTACTTTGTAGACAGTTTACTAAAATTTTTTGTTAAAAATTTTTTATTTTCTTCTAAAGTTTTCGCACTCACAAAAGCTTGCAAGTGAGACTCTTTATTCAAGGTAGAAATGAAAGATGACATTTCTAAATGTTAAATAATTGAATTCAAAAAACTAATTAATTCTTACACACGAATCCATCGACTTTTATACAAGTATAAAACGGAAGTGGGGATGCGAGATTGCGTCCGAGATCCCTCCCCGACCTAAACGAAAAGAGGGGATAGATCTCGAGATGGACGAGGGCAATAAACGACCAAGGTCGAGCAACGACTAGGTCAATGATCGCCCGATGAAAAGTAATGGGGGAGCTGGACCAGCTGGCAAGGTCAGCCACGTGCACCGACAAGCTCGACAACAAATGAAAGGTCAATGACCGCTCGATGAAAAGTAATGGGGGAGCTGGACCAGTTTGACCTCATTTGACCTGGTCTAGAACCCCCACTATATAACTACTAACCGGCAAAATGTATTTATTGAACTTTTCAGTTTTTCTATTTTTACAATTTTTCGATTTCTCAATATTCCGATTCTAGAATTCTTTGTTTTTCATTTTAAATTTTAATTTTCGATTTTGAATTTTTCATTTTATTTGTTTCTTTAATTTTACAACATGCAACTCTGCAGTTTTCGTTTTAAAATTTTTCAGTTTTTAATTTTCCAAATTTTGGATGTTTCAAATTACAGAATTGGCAATTTTTCCATTTGTAATTCACGAGTTTTCAATTTTTCATGTCTTCAATTTTTTGCTTTGCAATTTTTCGTTTCGGTTTTCTGTTTTTTCATTTGATAGTTCATCATTTTTCTTGTGATATGAAATCGAGAAAGTGAAAATAAAAAAATCGAGAATACGAAAAACAAAAATCAAGAACTTGAAAAATTGAGGAAACGAAAAATTGAATAATCGAAAAATTAAAAACGGGAAACTGTAAGTATCGAAAAATGAAAAACTGTAAAATCGAAAATTTGAAAAGGAAAATGAAAAACCGGAAAATTGTCATATGGAAAATTTAAAATCGAAAAAAGAAAAAACGAAAAATTCTAATATCAAATAATGTAACACTAAAATAACAGTATTGTACTCCCAAAATTGTATGGGAAAATGGAGTGAGCCGTTCCTGATTTAATCAATAAAATAAAGTGACTCATTAATTTTTTTTTTGAGCCACACATAAATCACAAGCAGAAACTTATCATATTTTGCACATTTTAAGACGTCATCATTTTTTTGGGGAGATTATTTGGGGAGATTATTTGTCTCATAAAAAACCGGGACGGCAGACAGAGGGACAGACGGACAGACAGACAGACGGAAACGCTTACGCTCCGGAAGTAACAACTGATTCAATATCTCCAAAAACCTTTATTCAAACCACAATTCACATATCGACTATACCCCCAATCATAACAATATGGGACAAATACTCCCGCCCCGGTAACATAGACCCGGGCATTAACATCAACCCATTAGCCCCCACCAGACTGTTCAGGCGGCTGCTGATCTGCCCCCCATTCGGCTTGGCAACGATTTTCCCATCAACGTAGCTCACAATAACCCTCATATACTCGGGCCTAGCGTCCGTGCTCTGCTTCGAAACCGACTGAAAAAAACTTCCATAAAGGAGGCACAAAAATAGCCACTTTACGTACCACAACGTGAGGGATGGTGTGAAACTCCCACTCATTCGCGCCCTCCAAGTGGCGCAGCAGCGGGACTACGAACAGCAGACACGTCACACAAGCGGACACCGGATTTCCGGGCAAGCCGAAGACGATTTTCTTCGATCCTTCGTACGTGAGAGTGGCAAAGGTGGTGGGTTTGCTGAAAAATTATGATTACAATGAGTGTCTCTAGACACCTTTGAGACTTTACCCCGGTTTCATATTGACCCTGCCGAAGTGGATCGTGGCGCCAAAGTCATCAACCAACACTCTCTTGATGAAATCAAACTCCCCCATCGACACTCCCCCCGTGGTAATTAGAACGTCGTTGAGGGTGAGCGCCGTGGCGATGGCCTTTTTGATGGTATCTGGCCTGGAATGATCGAATTAATCCCGTTCTTAATCTCCAGGGAAAGCATTACTCGTCTTTGATGATCCCGTAGTCGTCACAGTCATAGTTGTACTCCTTGAGGAGATTGATTAGAGCCAAGCGGTTGCTGTCGCGGATCTGGCCAGGCTGTAACTCTTCATAATGGTCTCTCAATTCGTTCCCGGTCGTGAAAATACCCACGGACGCCGGCCTTAAATTCGAGCGGTTAATAATGGCACGAGTGCACATTTTTCCACTTACTTATAGACTGTAACTGTTGATTTTCCGACAGCTGCCAAGACTCCGATGTGGGGACCCTTCAAGCGCTCACCGCGCATTAAAACAACGGTATTTTTGGACACGTCACAGCCTAAGCGCCTGAAATCCGAAACACTAATTTTGCACATCTCCACTTCAATCAGTCTAAACCTGATATCCTGACCCTTCACAGGCATCTTGTTCACACTAATTTCAACTTCCTCGCCACCCTCCTTCGTGACGACACTGGTGTCCTCCACCTGGACTACGGCGTCGGCTCCTGCAGGAATAGGAGCCCCGGTCCCGATCCTCACAGCCTCCCCTTCTTGCAAAGGAATAACCTCCGGCTGCAACAACCCGTCAGAAACCACGACCAATATAGTCAAAGCAACGTACAGCGTCTCCAGCTCCCAGGGCTCTCCTGACGCGTCTCAAACCATCTCCATCGGCCGCTCTAACCGCGTAGCCGTCCTTAATAGACGCGTCAAAAGGTGGAACGTCGTCGTAGGACAGCACGTCTTCCGCTAAAACCCGATGGAGGGCGACCTCAATGGCTATCCGCTCAACCTCGGCCTCCAGCTGCGATTCCTGCACGATCACGTCCTTGGCGTCGTTAACCTCGAACATGGGGTAGGTGGACTCGCGAGGACGATCGGCCACATTGTCGGTGATCACCTTAATCAAAATACAATTATGATTAAGCGTTATTTAAATAGTTTTGTACCTTGCTGGGCCCGCAGCCGTCGATGAAGCGCACCCGCTTCTGCACCTTCTTGTGGAGCTTCTGGACCGCGTCGGTCTGGTCGGTGATGAGGGCCACGGCGTGCGGGATGCACTCCTGGACGAAGGAGAAGCACTCGACGGAGCCCTTGGCGCTGCCGGGGAGGTTGATGATGAGGGACTTGTCTTTGATGCCGCACACGGCCCGCGATAGCATGGCCATCGGAGTGATTTGGAGGCTGTTCGAGATCATGGCGTAGGTCACCCCGGGCGCTTCTCGCTCGATAACGGCGCGGGTGGCTTCCGGGGTCACGTCCCGAGGGGAGAATCCTGTTCCACCGGTGGTGAGAATTACGTTGCAGTGTTCCGATACCCACTTGTTGAGCGTATCGACGATTTGCTGGAGGTCGTCGGGGACGATGGCCTTTTGGCTGATTTGGAAGTCGGGGAAGGCTTTGCGGAAAGCTTTCTCGAGGGCGGGGCCCGAAGTGTCCTCTTTTTGGTGCGAGAAGCAGGAGTCGCTCACTGGAAAAGGGGGTAATGTAGTGTGTGGGGGTGGAGGAAGTCGGTGAAGGAGAAAAATTAGGGAAAATGGTGATAGAAAGATTTTAAAAGAAAAACAACGGAAAAAGACCTAGAACATTTGATGTTTTTGTGACGAAATACATGTACAAGAAAGTTTTAGTCTAGAAGATTTTTATTCGCACCCTCGAAATGCGACTGACGAAATCTCGAAAATATTTTATTAGGAAAAACTTGACGATGAGAAATTTAATGAATGCAGAGTTTAGATTGGAAGCACGACGTTTTCGTGGAATTCTAGAACTTTAAAAAATAGATGATGATATTTTAAAAGAACCAGAGAAGAAATATTTGGACTTACAGAATTTACAAAATGAATTTGAATAAAGAACTATAAGAAATCCTAGGAGGTTTTAATTTAAAAAGTGTACCCTGGAAAATTTAGATAGTGTGAAACAAGTCCACCATCAAGACAACGTGAATTCTAGAATATTAGAAAGTCTAAATAGATCATTGAGACGAATTCTAATCGAAAAGAGGAAAAATTAAACATAGAAGTAAAACTGCTGTTGAAGAAGAAAGCCAAATTCTACCGGTATAGAAATCACAAGAATATTATCTTAAAGAAGCAGATAACAAAAACAAAAATTTGACTTTGGTACAAGATCAAGGTTGAAAAAAACTACACTTAAAGAAGAAAGTGAGGCGATTTGATTTTGAAAAGATTCTAGTTGGATTCTGTTTGGCAAAGAAAAGATCTTAGGAGTTTCAACTTCTGTACGAGAGTGAGGTTCGTGAAGAAAACTAATCAAGATTAGAGAAAGTTGTAGAAGATTTCTGTTTAGAAACGAGGAGACATGGATGAATTTCGACTTCTAAAGTTGAAGAAAGAAGTTACAAGAACGGAATTCAAATAAAGTTTTAGAAGATTTTTATTTACACCTTAGAAGTGTGAAATTTCGATGAAGATGAAGTTCCAGAAAGAAGAAAACTGACGAAATTTCGAAAATATTTTGTTAGGAAAAACTTCATTCTGAGAAATTTTATTATTGCAGAATTTAAATTGAAAGCACGAAGTTTTCGTGAAATTCTAGAAGAATAAAGAATAGATGATGATATTAAAAAAACAGACGAAAATATTTGGACTTACAGAATTCACAAAAAAGAATTTGAATGAAGAAGAGATAGGAATTCCTGGAAGTTTAATATCAAAAAAGTACCCTGGAGAATTCAGACAGAAAACAAGTCCACCAAGACAACGTGAATTTTAGACAATTAGAAAATATAGATAGATCATTGAAAAAAATTGTAATCGAAAATAGGAAAAATCAAACAAAAAAGTAGAATTTCTATTGAAGAAAAATTGTGAAATAAAGAAGAGTTGTGGCGGATCTAGAAGGTTTTGCTAAACAAAAATATAATTCTAGCGGTGTAGGAATGGCAAGAAGACATTCTGCAAGAAATAGACTGTGAAAAGAGAATTTCTTCTTCAGTGACGGATTAAAATTGAGAAGAAACTACATTTATTCTGTTTGGCAATGGGGAGGTCTTAGGATTTTCGACTTCTATAGGAGATTGAAATTCGACAAGATAACTGACGAAGATTAGAAAAAGTTCTAGAAGATTTCTGTTTATAAATAAGAAAACGTCGAGAAATTGACGTCTCAATTTGAAGCAAGAAACTACCTGAAACGAATTCGAAAAACTTTCAGAAGATTTTTATTTGGAACCTAGAAGTGAGAAATTTCGACAGAAGATGAAGTCCGAGAAAGAAGATAACGATGAAATGTCTTGAAAATTTCAGAATATAGGAAAAACTTTATCCTGAAGAATTTGAATAATGCAGAATTTAGATGGAAAGTACGAAGTTTCCGTGAAATTCTAGAAGATTAAAGAATAGATGATGATATTAAAGAAAAGCAGACGGAAATATATGGACTTTCAAAATTCGCAAAAAAGAATTTGAATGAAGAAGAGATAGGAATTCCTGGAAGCTTAATATCAAAAAAGTACCCTGGAGAATTCAGACAGAAAACAAGTCCACCATCAAGACAACGTGAATTTTAGACAATTAGAAAATCTAGATAGATCATTGAAAAAAATTGTAATCGAAAATAGGAAAAATCAAACAAAAAAGTAGAATTTCTATTGAAGAAAAATTGTGAAATAAAGAAGAGTTGTGGCGGATCTAGAAGGTTTTGCTAAAGAAAAATATAATTCTAGCGGTGTAGGAATGGCAAGAAGACATTCTGCAAGAAATAGACAGTGAAAAGAAAATTTCGTTTTCAGTGAAGGATTAAATCTGAGAAGAAACTACATTTATTCTGTTTGGCAAAGGTGAGGTCTTAGCATTTTAGACTTCTATAGGAGATTGAAATTCGACAAGATAACTGACGAAGATTAAAGAAAGTTCTAGAAGATTTCTGTTTAGAAATAAGAAAACATCGAGAAATTGACGTCTCAAGTTGAAGAAAGAAACTACCTGAAACGAATTCGAAAAAGTTCAAGAAGATTTTTATTTGGAACCTAGAAGTGAGAAATTTCAACAGAAGATGAAGTCCAAGAAGGAAGATAACGATGAAATCTCAGGAAGATTTCAGAATACAGGAAAAACTTCATCTTGAAGAATTTTAATCATGCAGAATTTAGATTGAAAGCACGAAGTTTCCGTGAAATTCTGGAAGAATAAAGAATAGATGATGATATTAAAAAAAAACAGACGGAAATATTTGGACTTACAGAATGCCCAAAAAAAATTTGAATGAAGAAGAAATATGAATTCCTAGAAGCTTATAATCACAAAAGTACCGTGGAGAATTTAGACAGAAAACAGGTCCACCATCAAGACAACGTGAATTTTAGAATATTAGACAATGTAGATAGATCATTGTGAAAAATTCCAATCGAAGATAGGAAAAATTAAACATAAAAGACGAATTTCTGCTTTAGAAGGATGTGAAAAAAAGAAGAGTTGTGACAGATCTAGAAGGTTTTGCTAAAAAAGAATATTATTCTAGAGGTATTGGAATGACAAGAAGACATTCTATAAGAAACAGACAGTAAAAAAAAAATTTCGACTTCACTGCAGGATTAAATTTGAGAACAAACCACATTTGTTCTGTTTGGCAAAGAGGAAGTCTTAGATTGAAATTCGACATGATAACTGATGAAAATGAGCGAAAGTTCTAGAAGATTTCTGTTTAGAAATAACAAAACATCGAGAAATTGACGTCTCAAGTTAAAGAAAGAAACTATCTGACGTGAATTAAAAAAGTTCCAGAAGATTTTTATTTGGAACCTAGAAGTGAGAAATTTCGACAGAAGATGAAGCCCGAGAAAGAAGATAACGATGAAATCTCTTGAAGATTTCAGAATATAGGAAAAACTTCATCCTGAAGAATTTGAATAATGCAGAATTTAGATTGAAAGCACGAAGTTTCCGTGAAATTCTAGAAGAATAAAGAATAGATGATGATATTAAAAAAAAGCAGACGGAAATATTTGGACTTACAGAATTAACAAAAAAGAATTTGAATGAAGAAGAAATATGAATTCCTAGAAGCTTATAATCACAAAAGTACCCTGGAGAATTCAGACAGAAAACAAGTCCAAAAGCAAGACAACGTGAATTTCAGAGTATTAAAATCTAGATAGATCATTGACAAGAATTTTAATCGAGAATTGGAAAAATTAAACAAAAAAGTAGAATTTCTGTTGAAGAAAGTGAAATAAAGAAGAGTTATGGCAGATCTAGAAGTTTTTGCGAAAGAAGAATATAATTCTAGCGGTGTAGGAATAGCAAGAAGACATTCTACAAGAAATAGACAGTGAAAAGAAAATTTCGTCTTCAGTGACGGATTAAAATTGAGAAGAAACTACATTTATTCTGTTTGGCAATGGGGAGGTTTTAGGATTTTCGACTTCTATAGGAGATTGAAATTCGACAAGATAACTGACGAAGATTCGAGAAAATTCTAGAAGATTTCTGTTTAGAAATAAGAAAACATCGAGAAATTGACGTCTCAAGTTGAAGAAAGAAACTACCTGAAGCGAATTCGAAAAAGTTCCAGAACATTTTTATTTGAAACCTAGTAGTCAGAAGTTTCGACAGAAGATGAAGTCCGATAAAAAAGACGATGAAATCTCTTGAAGGTTTCAGAAAATAGGAAAAACTTCATCCTGAGGAATTTGAATAATGTAGAATTTAGATTGAAAGCACGAAGTTTCCGTAAAAATGTAGAAGATTAAAGAATGGATAATGATATTAAGAAAAGTCGACAGAAATATTTGGACTTAACAGAATGCCCAAAAAAAATTAGAAATGACAAGAAGACATTCTATACAAAACAGACAGTAAAAAAAATTCGACTTCACTGCAGAATTAAATTTGTGAACCAACCACATTTATTCTGTTTGGCAAAGAGGAGGTCTTAGGATTTTCGACTTCTATAGGAGATTGAAATTCGACATGATAACTGATGAAAATTAGCGAAAGTTCTAGAAGATTTCTGTTTAGAACTAACAAAACATCGAGAAATTGACGTCTCAAGTTAAAGAAAGAAACTATCTGACGTGAATTAAAATAGTTCCAGAAGATTTTTATTTGGAACCTAGAAGTGAGAAATTTCGACAGAAGATGAAGTCCGATAAAGAAGTTAACGATGAAATCTCTTGAAGATTTCAGAATATAGGAAAAACTTCATCCAGAAGAATTTGAATACTGCAGAATTTAGATTGAAAACGCGAAGTTTCAGTGAAATTCTAGAAGATTAAATAATATATAGATGATGATATTAAAAAAAGCAGACGGAAATATTTCGACTTTCAGAATTCGAAAAAAAGAATTTGAATGAAGAAGAGTTAAGAATTCCTAGAGTCTTATAATCAAAAAAGTGCCCTGGAGAATTCAGACAGAAAACAAGTCCACCATGGAGACAACGTGAATTTTAGAACATTAGAAAATCTAGATAGATCATTGAGAAGAATTCTAATCGAAAATAGAAAAATTAGACATCAAAGTAGAATTTCTATTGAAGAAGAATTGTGAAATAAAGACGAGTTGTGGCAGATCTAGAAGGTTTTGCTAAAGAAGAATATAATTCTAGCGGTATAGGAATGACAAAAAGACATTCTACAAGAAATAGACAGTGAAAAGAAAATTTCGTCTTCAGTGAAGGATTAAATTTGAGAAGAAACTACATTTATTCTGTTTAGCAGAGGAAAGGTCTTAAGACTTCCAACTTCTGTAGGAGATTGAAATTCGACAATATAACTGACGAAGATTGGAGAAAGTTCTAGAAGTTTTCTGTTTAGAAATACGAAAACATTGAGAAATTGACGTCTCAAATTGAAGCAAGAAACTGCCTGAAACGAACTTGAAAAGGTTCCAGAAGATTTTTATTTAGAACCTAGAAGTGAGAAATTTCGATAGAAGATGAAGTCCGATAAAGAAGTTAACGATGAAATCTCTTGAAGATTTCAGAATATAGGAAAAATTTCATTCTGAGGAATTTGAATAATGCAGAAGCACGAAGTTTCCGTGGAATTCTAGATGATTAAAGAATAGATGATAATATTAACAAAAAAAAATCTGAATAAAGAAAACATAAGAATTCCTAGAAGCTTATAATCAAAAAAGTACCCTGGAGAATTCAAACAGAAAACAAGTCCACCGTCAAAACAACGTGAATTTTAGAATATCAGATAATCTAGATAGATCATTAAGAGAAATTATAATTGAAAATAGGGAAAATTAAACCTCAAAGTAGAATTTCTGTTGAAGAAGAAAGTGAAATAAAGAAGAGTTGTGACAGATCTAGAAGGTTTTGCTAAAGAAGAATATAATTCTAGCGCTATAGGAATGACAAGAAGACATTCTACAAGAAACAGACAGTGAAAAAATTTTCCAGTTCAGTACAGGATTAAATTTGAGAAGAAACTACATTTATTCTGTTTGGCAAAGGAGAGGTCTTAGGACTTTCGACTTCTGTAGGTAATTGAAATTCGACAAGACAATTGACGAAGATTAGAAAAAGTTCTGGAAGATTTCTGTTTAGAAATAAGAAAACGTCGAGAAATTGACGTCTCAAGTTGAAGCAAGAAACTACCTTTAGCGAATTCGAAAAAGTTCCAGAAGATTTTTATTTGGAACCCAGAAGTGTGAAATTTCGACAGAAGATGAAGTCACAGAAAGAAAATAGCGATGAAATCTCTTGAAGATTTCAGAATATAGGAAAGACTTCATCTTGAGGAATTTGAATAATGCAGAAGCACGAAGTTTCCGTGAAATTCTAGATGATTAAAGAATAGATAAGATAAGAATTTCTAGAAACTTATAATCAAAAACTTGGAGAATTCAGACAGAAAACAAGTCAACAATCTTGAATAGGTGATATTTCTGAAGACCTAGAGGAAACAAAAATACAAAAACCTACAAGGTTCTAAATAAAAATAGAAGAATCTTATATAAGGTGTCAAAGTAGAATTGCTGAAAAAATAATTCAACCATTTAAGATATTCCATAGATTTTAATTCCTGAAAGTTCTAGTGGTGTTCTACTTGGGAATTGAACGAGAATCAGAAATTGCAAGTCCTGTAGAAGATTGAAATTTAGGATTACAATTCACAAAGTTGAATAAAAACATAAGAAAATTTCTGTTTATTAAGCAGAAGAAATTTTTCATCCTTCAGCATCTCGGTGTACGCAAAGCTTAAAAAAACAACGTACCTGTCAGAATGCCGCATGTCTGTGGTGAAGCCATTGTAGAAATTCGAGAACTTTCTTCTTGGAATGTTAATACCGCCAAATATTCTAATGTAAAAAGAAAAAATGTTATTAGATATTTTGCTTTTGCTATCACTTCCGTCCCTTTCCTTCAGTTAAACCTCGTTTTGTCAAAATTAATTTAAAAAAGCGAGCAACTCAACGAAAAATATTTGTATCATCCACTTGAAAGATGTTACGTGTTTATTTGAAATGAAAACCCTTCCGCTTTAATTCTGATAAGAAATGCACATATTTAATGCAACTTTGTAGCGATATCAGGTGTCATGAACTACAGTTTTTTACTGTTAAACAAATTCCAAGAACAGGGTTAGGTCAAGTTAAAGATAAAATTATTCGTTTTTCACAACAAAAACATTAACACTTTAACGTTGTTTGGTAGTTTATTTATCGTTGTTAAAAAGATATTTCATAAATTTGATTTATTATATCTAATCATTCTCAGGCAAAACAGGAAAAAACGTCTATAAAAAACAGCCCGATTAATTACTCAAGATTTCATCCATTAATATTATTAGTGACTCAAATTAAACCATAGTAATTATGGCAGTTTCTCCTTTATAGTCGTAATAATGGACCTATAGCTCCAAATGTCCCCTTCTAACTCGCCTAATGTTCAATAAAAGCATTCAGGACCACCTCGAACCCGAGCTTTAAGCACGTTCAAGATTCACATCCAAGAGAACAAAGCTAGAGGTTTTCATTCAACTTGCTTATAATCCAAATTTTTTGCATTAAATGGACAAATCACCGACTTGTCCCATGTTGTAACAACACAACGTGACACGAATCTTATTGGCGCCAAGCTCGATTATTTTTTATTTTGTTTGCCGACAACCGTAAGAGATAAGAATATTATTTGTAGCGCGATAAGGATCCAACAAAATAAAGTCGAATAACTAACAATTCCGTGAAATAATTGCCCTATCTCTATAACCGTATCGATCTCAAACTCGCTAACTCGTGTAAAATAAACAAGCGGACACTTTCCCGGTACAAACTTTGCGACGAGGAAGATTGAAGACATGCTTCTGTTGAATTATTCACGACCGACACGGCTCATAACCAAGTTATTCCCGTTCTGGATCGAACCTTTTTATATTTAACTTATGGAAGCGGCGGGATTGGATGTTTGACAGTTATGGTATTTTCTGTTGTGCTTTGAAGTTATTGGGGCTATTGTTGGTAATATTTGCGCCCGTTTTCCCGGCGAAGTGACGGGAGTTTGCCACTTCGTAACTTCGGGATAAGTAGCTATAACTCGAAAATAGCTCATGATGTTAAATTCATAAGTTATGGGGTTGCGAGCCGGGCGGTTTTGACGTTTATGAAATAAGATTGGATTCTCCTGGGGGATCATTGAGAGATCGGGTCCATGGAGGAGTTTTTTCTGCGTCGTAGCGCTAGTGGCATGAAAAATGCACAGAATTTAATAAAATGTGTGATTTAGATGTTCCAACTTTCATAAAACAAAAACAGGAAAGGGGAATTGGCTTGTCAGAGTCGCGAAAAAAGAAGTCTTTTTCTTGGCACGTTTTTGCTTAAAATTAAAAACGCGATAATGAGCGACTACAAATTTACCTACCTTGAGAAGTCGATTTCGGCTTCTTGTTACAACGTGGCACTAATTAATAATTACAGACAGCGACGTCTGGGATTTTATAACGAACCTTGCACAAATTCCAGACACAAATTTCGATATTTTATTAGTTGAAACTGGGTCGAATTTAATTGTGTCCTTTTCGGTTTTGAAATGTGTACTATTTTCGTCAATTTCTCTTCGCGTATTGTAACTGCTGCACTACGCAGTAATTTATGATTTAAAATATCGAAAGTCGCTTACGACTGGCCATAAACCCGTTTACGAGCTACTTTATTTTAGCTTCACAGAGGTCTTAAAATTCGTTCAGTGTGCACATTTTACGACTGAGTCGATGTTTCTGGTTCCCGAGCAAGCGCCCAAGGTATGGCTCCTAGAAGAGGAAAAAGTAGGTTTTCCGTTTCCGGTTGTCGTCGTCTGGTGGTGAATTGTTAAACAGATAAAATCCGAAACTGCTGGATTAACCAAACGTCATCTCAAAATTTTTCAAAGTAAATCCTGTTCAAAATTGATTTATCATCAGTATTTGTTAAGATACGACTGATTTTGGCACATCACATAACTCCAAGAAAATAGAGGGTGGGTGGGCGGGGCTAAAATTAATTAAAATAAGCGTTCTTATTACTATACGATTTTTAGATTTTTGGGATTTTTGTTTTGTTTCGAGTCTTTGGAATCTTTAAAATTTTTGTCATGTTAAGAGTTAGATATAAAAAAAAAACATTAATGGCCGTGGTTCATTTTGGTAATTCTGGAAAAATGTTTCTACAATACGAAATTACCAAATTTTGGGTAATTTTCGAAAGTGCTTGTTGAAAAGTCAAAAATTTCCTAGCGAAATTTGAAAAACTGAGCTTTTGGTAGAGTTGTCTAAAAATTTAGAGAAAATTCTAGAAAATAGATATCGACGAACTGGTTCGAAAAGGCTGTTTAATGGCACCAGAGAAAGACTTTCGAAATTTTCATCTTCAAAATGAAATTTTTAAAATGTTCCAAAAATAACTATATTATTTTGATGATTCTGGAAAAATGGTTCGAATTTTCTAAGAAATGTTCTGCGAGTCGAAATCAACAAACAAATGTCGTTAGGTAATTTTCGACAATGCCCTGAAAGACGTCAAAAATTTCGTAAGAGCTTTGAAAAATTGAGTTTATGGGCAAGCTGCCTAAAAATCCACATAAAATTGTCGAATACAAAGATCGACGAACTGATCCGTAAAGCAGCCTATTGAGGGACCCAGACCAAAATTTTCAAAATTTTTGATTCCAGAATCGAATTTTTTTAATTTCCCAAAAATTTTTGAAAAGTTTTAAGAGTTGTCTAAAAATCCACAAAACATTATAGGATATAGATATCGACAAACTGATTCAAAAAACAGCCGGTTGATGGATCCAGGCCAATTTCTGATTTCAAAAATCAAAATTTTAAAACAATATACCAAAAATGGCAATGTTTAATTTTCATGGTTCTGTAAAAGTGACTCGAGTTTTCGAAAAATTGTTTCTGTGAGTCAAAATCAATAAAAAAATGACTTTTAGTAATTTTCGAAGAACAAATTTTTCAAAAAATTGTTCTTGGCAAATTGTCTAATCCACAAAAATTTCTGGGAAAAGAATATCGATGAACTGATTATAAAACATGACCTGTTGACGATTTCAGACCAAGATTTTAAATTTTCAGTCTCAAAATAAAATTTTTGAAATGTCAAAAATGTCTATATTTCGTTTTGATGAGTCGGAAAAGTGGTTGGAATGTTTTAAGAAATGTTGCTGAAAATGATTTAAGCAACTCGAAAACAATAAACAAATTTCTTTAAGTAATAAAAAAAATCGATATTTTGTTAAGTTGTCTAAAAATGTACAAACATTTGTGGAATATATATATCTTCCATAATCATTAGCATCAACGAACCAAAAACATCTACAATTAAATTCAACAACAAAAACCTGATAACAATCAATATCATTACCCTACTTAGTTTAATCTTATCAACCCCAATTGGTAAGCTAATTCGAAAAACATAGTCGGTTGATGGACCCAGACTGAGATTTTCGAAATTTTTGACGACAAAATCGACTTTTTAAAATATCCCAACAATGGTGTTAGTTCATTTTGGTGATTCTGGAAAAGTGCTTTTACAATCCGAAATCAACCAAAAAATGTCTTTGAGTAATTTCCAAAAGTGCTTCATGAAAAATCAAAAATTTCATAAGGGGGAGCACTGAAAAAACGAGCTTTTGGTAGATTTTTCTAAAAATTCGGAAAGAATTCTAGAAAATATTTAGAAATCGATGATTGATTCGAAAATATCATATATCATGGCCCCAGAGCAAGATTTTCGATTTGGAAACTTTAGAATTTTTGTAATTTCTAGGAACATTAATACCACCAAGATTTTTACAATTTTTAAGATTTTTTTGGATGTTTTTTCTATTTAGAACCTAAAACTTTAGTTTATTTAGCATCTTTGGTGCCTTTACTATTATTATTTTAGTGTATGCAAATTTTAAGATTTTTAGAATTTTTGAAAGGTTTCAAACGTTTTAAATATTTCAAACAATTGGAAACTTTGGAATTTTTAGAATATCTCTAATCTTAAGATTGTGTGTAAACTTTTGAAATTTTGATATTCAATGTTTTTTTGTTTTCTTTTAATTTTTGGGGATTTTCGTAATTTGCAAAATTTTTAAAATTTCCAGAATGTTCAGATTTTCCAAATTAGCCCAAGTTTTCAGATTTTCCGAAGTACACAAAATGACCAGAATTTCCACATTTTCTAAAATTATTGGGCTCCAGTTATACCAGAATAAAAAAATCATCAAATTTGAGATAGGGCGGGTGGGCGGGGCTTACATCTTTTCACAACAAGAAACTTAGACACATATTAAAACAGGAAGCAAAATGTAGGTTTTTGGAAAAAATCAAAATTATAGAATAAGTGATTAGATTTCACTTATTCATCCCAGCATAAAACTTGATGACGTCATCTCAAAAGTGTTTAAAAAACTAGTGAATGGGTCAATATGATTTATAGGGTAAATCTTAAATGGTTCACCTAATTTTTCCGAAATTCTAGGTACACAATACTCTTGTTATTAGTATTACATTGTACTTATCAAAATTGATGTATTCATTCCCACAAAAAAATTAATGGCGGCACATACAGTTTATTAAAAATATTTTTTTAACTTATAAATATTGAAAAATTGGACTTGTTTAATGAATTGTCCTTGAGAGGCGGGGAACCTTCTGTGTAAGTAATTTTAGACCAGTTATCATTTTTTTAATAATTAATTATTGAAATACAAAAAGTTGTAGCCCAAAGTTTACATAAGTACGCTTTTGTGGAGAGTAGTCAATTTTTGAAATTCCGACGCGACGTTGCCACGTTATTCCAGTTTCCTTGAAATTTTTTAGTAATACAAAGGTCGACAAAAAATGCAATTGGCTTATTTTTAAAATCTGCGTTACGATCTTCTGTGAGAACATAAATTATTTTCAAATCGATATTTAATTTTTTTCAGCTGGAACACCCCGTTTTTTATTAGTGCACATCGAAAGAAAGAACAAAAATATAGTAAAATGCACTAATGAAACATAGGGTATTTTGTTTGATAAAAGTGAAATATATTTGAGTTTTAGACTTTTTTATAAACACTCTGTATAAAAAAATAATTTAATTGATACCACAAGGCGCGAATCTCTGTTTATCTTTCCATAACATCTTGTAATACAGATTATAAATATTAACGTTATTGTGATTTTTTTTCTAAACCCTTGCGTTGCAAAAAAAAAATAAAATACATACATTGGAATAATTTGGCAACGTCGCATTGGAATTTTAAAAATAAACAAGGTTGTAAATCAGATAACGAGGACAATCGAAATATTTAAAAATATATAGGGTGTTCAATAAAAAAAATGGATGCATGTGTACCTCAAAAACAGAACACTTTGTATAGTTGAAAATAATTTTAGTGTATGCTACTTAAAGAACTACGTAACCTTAGTTTTTAACTTTTTTTCTACATCGAGTAATTAATGAGAAGAAGGACGGCGCGCTTAATGACTCACCCTGTATATATGTATTTTATATAAGAAAGTAAATTGGAATTACGTAAAATTAAAGTTAGCTACTGACTTTTGTAGTAGACTCTGGAGAAATCACCTTGTATAAGCAGCACTCGTAACAATAATTATATTACTATATTTTATTCTATCTTTAAGGTGTAACACACAACTTAGTTTTTTTAAGTGAAGTATATTTTTACATGTTTTGATTGATTTCTTCTTAGGGTTTATTCCAAGTTTCTTGAAATTTTTTACTAATACAAAGCTTCATAAAAAATTGAAATAGGCTTATTTTTTTATGTAGAACGCGTATAAAAAAATCTCAAATGTTACAATTTTCACATCGAGGTTTTTTTTTTCAAATAAAACACCTTGTATTTTATTACTGCATACCCAAAAAAAAAAAAGAGTAAAATGCAGTAATAAAATATAGGGTATTCTGTTTGACGAAGGTGAAATATCGACATTTGAAAATTGTAATGCCTTACATTTTTTTTATAACCACTCTGTATAATAAAATTTAATTTAATTAATACCACAACAAGGCGGGAATCTCTGTTCATCTTTCCATGAAATCTTATAACACAAATTATACATATTAACCTTATTGTGAATTTTTTCTAAACCCTTGCATTGCTAAAAAAAAATTCAAGAACACTGGAATAATTTGCCAACGTTGGATCGGAATTTTAAAAATAAACAAGGTTGTAAATCAGATAACGAGGACAATCGCAATATCTAAAAATATATAGGGTGTCCTATTAAAAAAAAATTGGGTGTATGTTGTACCTCAAAAACAGAACACTCTGTATACTTGAAAATAATTTTAGTGTATGCTACTTAAAGAACTACGTAACCTTAATTTTTAACATTTTTCTATCTCTAGTAATTAGGTGGAGGACCGCACGCTTAATGACTCACCCTGTATATATTTTATATATGAAAGTAAATTGGAGTTAAGTAGAATTAAAGTTGGTTACCGACTTTTTTAGTAAACTCTGGAGAAATCACCTTGTATAAGCTGTACTCGTAACAATAATCATATAACTACTTTTGTCTTCATAATTTTCAAAATATATACAGGGTGGTCAGTAAGCTCGAGGTCCTCCATATCTCATTAATTATTAAAATAGAAAAAAAAAATCAAAAACCAAAGTTGTGCGGTTCTTTGAGGATTATACTTTAAAATTATTTTTAACTGTACAGAGTGTACTGTTTTTAAGGTGTAACACACAACTTAGTTTTTTTAAGTGAAATACCCTGTATATGTTTACATATTTTGAATGATTTCTTATTAGGGT